CAACATTGCTGCCCATTTCATCAGCATCGCAAGTCCTTCCTGATCTACCTGTTCAGGGACTGCTCAGCACCATGCTTTGCTTTGGAATATTATACACAGAGAGAAGAATATATATATATATAGAATAAAGGTAAAGGTACCCCTGCCCGTACGGGCCAGTCTTGACAGACTCTAGGGTTGTGCGCTCATCTCACTCTATAGGCCGGGGGCCAGCACTGTCCGGAGACACTTCCGGGTCACGTGGCCAGCGTGACATCGCTGCTCTGGCGAGCCAGAGCCGCACACGGAAACGCCGTTTACCTTCCCGCCAGTAAGTGGTCCCTATTTATCTACTTGCAACTGGAGGTGCTTTCGAACTGCTAGGTTGGCAGGCGCTGGGACCGAGCAAAGGGAGCGCACCCCGCTGCGGGGATTCGAACCGCCGACCTTTCGATCGGCAAGCCCTAGGCGCTGAGGCTTTTACCCACAGCGCCACCCGCGTCCCATACACACACACACACACACACACATATATATATATATATATATAAAATCCCCAATGCAAATATCCTAGCAGCGAAGGAAAATGCCCCTCAACTTTGGGGGGAGATTTCGATGACTCAGCAAGCAATGCATTTCAAAATAATTGAGTCCCCTAAGAGGGCTTCTAATAATAGAGAACCCAGTTAAAGCACTTTCCCCTCTGCTGTTTCATAACTAGGTCCCCTGTGGATAGTTTGGTTGCTTCAGGGAACGAAATTCCTCAGGTGGGTATAGCACAGCAAACCCTCCAAAAGGAAAACAAAGGTCACTTAGGGCTTCTGTTCTCCTCTTCCCCCTGGGCTCAAAAGAGTGGGGAAAAGTTGAGCTCCAAGGCTAAAGGGCTCCAGTGAGATGAGGCAGGGCGGGGTCGCAAACGCAGGAAGGGAGATGGAAGAGAAATGCAGTGGATATCCGGGAGGCGCCTGTGCCTTTAAGGTAGTTGGGGAAACTGCTGATGTGCCAAAGGCCTCTGGGACATTTCTCGTCTTGCTCCCCTTCCCCTTATCAGTTGATAGCCAAAGGGAAGAATTGTGGGTGATAGCCAGGGGCTCCCACACCCAAAACAGCTGAGCAAACCGCCAAAGGGCACAAGGAAAAGAGTGTGTTTTAAAAAGCGAGATTAATGCTCAGTAGGGAAGTTAACTCGGCACTGGTGTGACACGGCTCACAGCAGCTTTGAAAGTTAAAAAAACGACCTTCTGAGAGATCCAAAACTAGGATGCTTTTGCTACAGCTCAGCTGTTAAACCCCAAAGCCAGGACAGAGGGCAACTTCAAATGATTTAAGACAGCTACCCTTAAAATAAAAGATGCACCGAAATTTTTATCCGGCTACAAAAATATTTGCGTTCCAAAATATGGCTGTTCTGTCCTTCCTTGGGGAACCATTGGGGTAATTTTAAGGAGAGGAGCAATGTGCTGTTGTTGATCTAAACCCTGCACGCCAGGTAGAGTTAATTCATTGGATCTACAGGATTTCCTTCAGGGAAATATTGTGATCCCAAGACACAGTGGGGGATTTTTAATGGGGTTTTTGGGGGGTACTGTAGATCTTTCTGGACCTATTTAACAACGTCCCATGGAACACGTGAAAAAGGATGCCTCTGAGAATGTGCTTTATGCCTTTCTTAACCCAATGAACACCTCAGCACTGCCCCCCTCCAAGAAAAGGTTGACTTGGAGGGAGTTTCCCCAGTTAGAGAATCCAAACAGACTGAGCTAGAATTAAGGTGGGTTGCTTAGAATTTTTAAGTCATAAAAGTGCCACCACAGTGAGGCAGATGGGATCTTCTAGAAGCTAGAATGGGAAGGGTCTTTAGTGGTCACCTCCTAGCTCAACTCACTGACTAAACGCAGGATGAAACTGCAGCATCCTCGCGAGGCAGACATGCAGTCTCCGCCAACAAAGGAGTTATGCTGGCTACCTTTCTTGAATATGAAGGCAGACACTTTTTAAAATTACAGCTGTGTTAAGCATTGGTGGAGGAGGTTCAAACCTCAGGACTGAGGAGTTCTTTACAAAGCAGCGCTGTGGAAACGTTGACTCAGGTAGGCTTGTCGAAAGCAAGGCCAGCCTGGCGAAGGAAAATGCCGCTGAAGCACTGGGTCACTTTCAAGAGGGGCAAAGACCAACCCTATGGTTTCGAAAGATTCTGTCTCAAAATTTTATTGGTTTGCTCGACAAGCTCTTGCCCTAGCTGCATAAGAAGTGGCAGTGTTACTCGTGGAGGTAAGACAATGGCACTCACTCAGCACAGGGTCAGAGGCATCCAATTTAGGATTTCAGCGTGCTCTAAGACTCAGCCCAAGCCTTCAAAGGGAGGTTTTGGACCCAAGCCTTGGTGAAACACTTCCGAGACTGAAAATCCAGACAGCACATATTTAAAACATATGGGGAACTGAACAACTTCTTTGATTAAAAGGTTGCTTGCACTTGCCACCCAAGGCCTGGGGTATTGAAGAAAATATTGGGGAAGGAACCAAGTAAGCCTCGCCCCACATATTGATCATATGACATGGCACATGCACACCACTTGAATGGCAATGCCCTTCAACTTGGGGGGGGGGTCCAGGACCTCAAATATTGAGGGGGGGCAAAGGGACCTTGGCCTCTAGGAGTTGACTCCTACGCCAGGGATGGTGAGCCTGGGCAAGGCACATAGCAGGGGACTCAAAGAGAAGTCGTGCCCATCAAACATTGTTGCATACGCACAGATGCACAGAGCTGCCTCCTTCGGTCAGCCCTCCCTGCTCATCAAATGATTGATCTGATGTCTGGGGTGGCAGGCAGCGATCCATATCTGGGCTCTGCAGAGAGGTTTAAATCTCTCCACTGACCCCAACTCTGCCAAAATCAGTGGGGTCCCAGAAAAGTTTGCTCTATGGCCAGGGTGAGCCACCCTGGCTCCAGAAAATGCCACAGGGTGTAGGAGTACACGCACCATACCAGCACATCGCAAGCTGGAAGAGACTTCCAAATTGTGTGTTTTGAGTCCTTTCTTCTTTTTCTTCCCTTTAGCACCCAGATCCAACTTTCAGAAACTCCTCCGTGTCTAGAAGAAAACCCTGGCTACCTGCCCCTGGATAAGGACTGGAGAGCAATTCAATTCAGTTCACAATCAAAGGCGAACTTACTGATCCTTCACTTTCTGAAGCAATAAGCAAAATCAAGACACTGCCGAACTTCGAAATTTGCACTTCTCTGAATTTGGCAGTCAACCTATATGTACAAAGATCCATATACTAGTCTGCATATAAACACACACAGCAGGTGAAAGTAACGTAAAGGAATGCATTATAGTTAGGGGGAACTGCTTTGCAAAAATGTATACATTAGGTAAAATTGCATACAACCATGTGTATATTGGAGAAATTCGAACTAAAATGCTGATGAACTCTGTCACAAGTTGTGGGAATGTGGAGAATCAAGCTTAAGACAGGGAAAAACGATAAACTGAAATTGACTGGTTCACGCATCCTCACCTATGATGCAGATTTAAAACCAGGATACACTCAAGTTAATAAAAGAGAGACACATATTTCTACAGGTTCTCAGGGCACTTTCCCTAAGCCCAAATGATATGGTTCTCATAAATAGATCCTTCCAGCCCATATTTAATCCAGAGTTATAATTTCAACAGAAAATCCAGAAAGCTTTTTTTCTTTAAAAAAAACCCAAAACTCAGAAACAGCAAATCTGGATATAATAGGGGGGAGATTATATGTGATGGCATTTTCCTGTGGAACGTAATCCTGTGGATGATGTGGTACACCTGCATGTGTGAGCTCCACCAAGTGCAAAGCAAGCTGGCATGTGGAAGCCTTCTGGGTTGCCATCCATCCCTTGCCTGATGCTCAACCCTAAGACACCTCTACAACCACGGCACACACTGCAAGAAGGTGGTGTGTGGATCCAGAATTGGACTCCGCAGTCACTTATGGACACATCGTTAAGACTGTGTTCATAGAAGGCAGTCTTACTTGGCAAAGATGAAGAAGAAGACATTGCGAGACAACCCGCTCCATCTAAGAACTGTAGAGTGCAAAGAGGACTCCCAGGACTTCTCCGGACTATTCTTTGAGCAAGACACCAAACATCATGATTGAGAATGGAAAGGGGGAAAATACCACACATACCTTGTCATGAATCATCTTACTACTTTTTCTCTGTGCTGGCCACCTTAAAGCCTTTTTTTTTTTAAGGACTTCATCTCCACTCACCATCAGTACCCCATCCTTCTTCCACCTAAAGGTAAACCCCAAAAGGCGCCCGAGGTCTCAGAATGACAGCCCCAAATCTTAAGAGTGTTTCTTCCCAAGTCCCACCAAGCGCATAGAGGCATGCTCCTCCAGCAAGCCCTGCCACGGTGGAAATCCCTATTTACTCTTGAGCAAGCCCATATATTGCATGGTGCGGCTCTGCCCTCAGCGGGACTCACTTCGGAGCCAAAACGCATTAGATCAGGCTTGGGCTGTATGTCGCGCGTGCTTGTTTGTTTTTAAAGTCCACTCTGTGCAAAATTCCCAAGGAGCCCAATTCAACAACACTGTTTCCCCCCCAAGGGACATCCATCATAGAAACCCAACACAGTCCGATAGACAAGATCGCCACGCGGGGAGTACGAGAGAGGAGGCGGGGAGAAGGAGGTAAGAGAAGGAAAGACGCAGCTGGCAGGCGGGAAGGGGTTAACCCACCACCCTGCGCCCCCTAACCCCGCAGTAAGTCCCTTCGAAGCGGAGGCTGCCTTCGGAAGAAGTGCGCCGCCAGACGGGTAAGACGCGCGCCAAGGCGTCTTGGGCGCACAGGCGCGCAAAGGCGGCCACGGCGCCTTCTCCAGGGCCACCGCCGGCGCCCTCCAGGGCTTGCCCTTCAGAGCATCTTTGGAGGGAAGGGGGGTGGGGGAAGCCGCTGCCTTTCCTAGCCTCACTCTCCCCGCTCCTCACCTCCTCTCCCGCGAGCTGAGGGAAGGCGCCCCTTACCATCGCCGCCTTGGCGCGGAAGGCGCCGGGTCCCTTGCGGTGCTGGTGCGCGCGGTGCCCGTCGTGGCCAGGGTTGCTGCTCTCCAGGTCGCGCTTCTCTCGGCGGCGGCTGGCGCTGCGGCTGCTGCTGCCCTGCGGCGGGCGCTGCTGCTCCTCCTCGCCGGAGTCCAGGCTGCTGAAATTCCACACGACCAGCGTCTGCACGAGCAGCACGGTGAGCGCCAAGACCAGCGCCGAGCGCGAGCGGCGGGCCAGGCGGCGGGCGCACGAAGCGGCCGCGGACGAAGACGGCGAAGGCGACGCGGCCACCACCACCATCTTCGCGGCGGAGGCAGCGGCGGCGGCGGCTGTGCTGCTGCTGCTCCGGATTGCTGCTGCTGCTGCTGCTCGCTGAGCCACTCAGAAGCGCCGCATCCGCCGCCGCCGCCTGGAGTTTTTCAGACGGACGAGACGTCAGCAGCAGGAGGCGGAGGCGGCCGAGGAGGCGGAGAGCGGGCAGGCAGGCGAGAGGAGCCGAGGAGGCCCGGCCCTCCGGCAGGCAGGCAGGCAGGCGAGGCAGCCCCGCGCTCGCTCGCTCCAGACGAGCCGAGGGGAGGAGAGGGGCTTGGCAGGCGAGGGGCGTGCGCGCAAAGGAGACGGTGGGGAGGAGCCGGCGGCGGCGCAGCCGAGCGAGCGAGCAGCGCCTTGTTTCAGGAGGAGGAGATGCTGGTCTGGGGGCTTTGGACAGGCAGGGGGTGGGGGCGTCTCTCTCCGGATGCGCCTTGGCACGGCTGGCAACCGAGAGGGGCGCCCGGCTTAGCTGCCGTGCGCCCGCGTCCCCGGCCACCCCTTTCCAGCTGTGCCTTTAAGGGCGGCTCGATCCGCGACTCTTATAGCAGGTGTGATTCCCGGTTTTGTGAGCCTCTGGGCCGAGCGAGAGCTGCTTCGCGTGCCGAGCTATTGCCTGAGAGCACGCCGCGCTCTTAAAGGCACGCGAGTCGGCGTGTGAAGGGGGGAGCGCGCCCGCGCGTTGTTCTGGCCTCGCAGCAATTGCTGCGTGCACAGACGTCGCTCAGCCCAAGCGCATCCCCGCCCTCCCGCGGAATCCCGGGGGTTGCAGTTCGTTCAGGGTGCTGGGAATTGTTGCTCCGTGGAGAGGGAACTACAGTTCCCAGGATTTTTGCAGGGATAGATGGTGTGTGTACGCAAACAGTTTGGAGTAACACTGCGCCTAAGATTGCGGGCTTCAGCGGGTGTGTAAGGCTGCATTCCTATGCATGCACCTGCACTGGCGAAGGAAGAGGGGGTGGGGGGAGCGCACCGCCCCCGGCAGCGCGATCCCGGTGGGGTTCCGTCGCGGCTGCCCCCCCCGCCCCCCCCGCTCTCCGCCCCCGGTGCCGGAGCATGAAGCTCCGCCACTGTGCACCTGCTGGCGAGTAAGTCTTGCTGAAAACAAGTCGATTGCATTAAAGCGGAGCTTTGAAAAAAAAAGCCCTTTTGATAAGGATGTTGCAACTCTCTCACACATACGTATATATAACAAGGAGGTGTACGACATGACAATATAATACTACAATAACATCAATAAAAACAAATCACATTCCAAAGGCCTATTTGAACAGCAGCCATTTAAAAAGACCTAGCAAAAAGCATAAAGCACACCATCTGAACTTCTGTTGACGGAGTTCCACAGTGCAAGGGCTGCCATAATAAAAGCTGGCCAAGGCAGGCATAGGCAAACTCGGCCCTCCAGATGTTTTGGGACTACAACTCCCATCATCCCTGACCACTGGTCCTGTTAGCTAGGGGTGGTGGGAGTTGTAGTCCCAAAAACATCTGGAGGACCAAGTTTGCCTATGCCTGCTCAAGATCTCAGTGATTGATGTGGAGCATCAGGAAGCAGACAGTCCTTAAGGTGCTGTGGGCCTAAGTTGTTTAGGGTTAATCCTCACTGAAGTTAGCTGAATCTGTGAGTGAGCGCTAGCACTTATTTTACTATAAATAGCAGGCTCAGGTTGCGCAATTAGAGTTGATTCAGAGCTCTTGTGCAATGAAACCCGCTTCCTTCCAAAAATCAAGACTTTTGTGATAAAGAAAGTGGGAGGGAAATGCACTGGAAAGTGTGGGATAATGCCTGGTGCATCACCATCATCTAACCTCCCTGCAAACAAATCAGAATGAATGCTCAATATATAGCCGCCAGCAACCAAGCTCCGTGCAGCTTTGTTCAAAAACATCATGGGGTGTTCTCAACAGAGGGGACACCCAGAAGCCACCACACAACTCATTGGCTGACTAAGTATTTCAAATGTCAGTGTACCTGCCACCCCCTACCTGTTATTAGGTGTGATTCCTGCAATGCAGGGGATTGGACTAGATGACACCACTGGGGATCCCTTCCAACTCTACAGCTCTGTGATCCTAAGATTCTATAACTGGAGCAAAATATTATTACTGCTACTGATCATACTTAAATTATTCAGCAAAACCTGAACAACTTTTTCTTGTTAGTTTCCTGCAAATGCGCAGCCTTTTGTCTGTTAGAACTTGTGCTGATAAAAGCTGTCAGGTGGGTTATTACTAACAAATGGATATAAAGATTTCAGTTTTTAAAATAATAATAATAGCATGCCGCTTGGATTGCCACGCAGCGAGGTTTGTGATAGGTAAAAATAATTCCCTGCTTAAAAGCAGCCTTACAATTGCAGCCGCAGCTCTAGAAACCTGCAAAAATCTACTCAAGACAATTAGCTTTTTTGTCCTTTATTATTTCCTCAAGCGCTGAGGTTTTGTGACACTTCTTTTCAGCTGAACCAAATAAATATTATCTTCTGTGTTTTTCATTGCACAGTCAAAGTGCCCCCCTTATCTGCTCTCCTTTCTTTTGATGTGGCACCCGCATAGCAACAGCCTCACAATTAATTGGTACTTTGCTTCTTAATTAAGAAGTTAGTGGGCCAGATTCTCAACTGCATTTTTGGAGTAAAGGTCTGGGAGAGATAAACTGTGCTGAGCTGATACCATCCTGTTCTCTGGTAGTACAGAGTGTGCCTTCTCAGCCACTTGCTGCATTTAAGAACCTAGAACACTCCCTAATACCAGTGGCGTAGCGTGGGGGGTGCAGGGGGGTGCTGGCCGCACCGGGCGCAACATCTGGGGTTAGGGCAAATCCACAGGTTAGGGGGCGCAAATCCACAGGTTAGGGGGCGCAAATTACTTGCCTTGCCCCGGGTGCTGACAACCCACGCTACGCCACTGCCTAATACTGAGGGAGGTCATTGGTCCATCTACTATTGTCTATGCTGGTTGGCATCAACTCTCCAGGGTTTCATCTCTCTATTGGCCCTGAGGTTCTCCACCCCCTTTTAAGAGCAGATTCTGGCTCATCATTATTGTGATGAAATAGAATGGGTGACTTGTGCAAACAGAGGAAGCTTCCTTAAACAGAGTTTGGCCATTGAACCATTTAGCTTAGTACTGGCCACATTCACACCACACCCTGAAAGCCCTATGATACCACTTCCAAGTGCTCATGGCTTTCCCCAAATAATTCTGGGAGCTGTAGTTTGTCAAGGGTGCTAAGGGTCTCCTAAGGAGACCCCTATTCCCCTCAGGGAGCTAAGATTCTCAGAGTTCCCTGTGAAAAGAGATTGACTATGAAACTATTCTAAGAATTGTAACTCTGTGAGGGGAATGAAAGCTCTCTGCACCCTTGACAAACTACAGTTCCTGGGATTCTTTCGGGGGAAGCCCAGACTGCTTAAAGTAGTATCATAGAGTTGCAGCCCTTCACTTTACTGAATCAGACTATGGTCCATCTAGCTTTGTACTGCCTGCCGTGATGATTCTCTGGGAGTGGCTATCTCCCGGCCCTACCTAGAGATACCTGGGACCATCTCTACACAAAAAAATATGTTCTCTCACTGAGCCATGGGCCTTCCCTACTGTGGTGTTTTTCTCCAGCAGCTCTAGCGAAGGTTGAAGCCCCTGAGCAAGGAAGCTGTGAAGCAACAGTGCAGGCACGCCTATGGAAGGAGGTTATTTTTAGGAGACGCCACTCATATCACGGGCTGTCTTGAGGCTGCTTCTGAGAAATGTGCCAATGGGTCCTCAAATATTGAGCTTTCTGTCGAAGTTTGCTCTCCCTGAAGGAAACGCTGAGGCCTACGTGGGCCGAGGGGGGACGAGTTGCTGCCTGCATTAGAAATCAAGGTCATTTGTCAGAAAAGTAGATGAGGGAAGGAAAAAGGAGCGGGGGGGGGGGGGGGAGAGAGACCACAGCCAACAACGGGGGGGGGGGGGGAGCATTTGAAAAGGCAGCACTGTGTGCAGTGAATGATAATATATTTATACTGCACACTTTTATCGACCTAACAAAAAAGTCACAACCCAAAGGGTAGATTGCACAGGCCCGCTGGTGAAGGCCGAGGATGCTCCCAGACAACAAAAACAAGCAATTGCTTGCTAGCATTCAACTATCTTATTTTTAAAAGTAATTTATAGCCAGATCTCCATTGTGCCCTTTGGGGGAAAGGGCTATAGAGCACTGGCAGAGCATCTGTTTTGCACACAGAAGGTCCCAGGTTCAGTCCTCGGTGTCTCCAGGTACGGCGACGAGAGGCCCCTGCCTGAAACGCTGCTGTCATGGACTGGCTGAGTGCTGAGGAGTGGTGAGAAGCACCAGCTAGATCTAATAGCCCTGAGCAGGAAAAATACAAGGTAGCTACACCACTCTCATTTCACAGAAATTGCTCACAAGGTAAAGGTAAAGGGACCCCTGACCATTAGGTCCAGTCGTGGCCGACTCTGGGCTTGCGGCGCTCATCTCGCTTTATTGGCCAAGGGAGCCGGCATACAGCTTCCGGGTCATGTGGCCAGCATGACTAAGCCGCTTCTGGCGAACCAGAGCAGCGCACGGAAACGCCATTTACCTTCCCACTGGAGCGGTACCTATTTATCTACTTGCACTTTGATGTGCTTTCGAACTGCTAGGTTGGCAGGAGCTGGGACCGAGCAACAGGAGCTCACCCCGTCGCGGGAATTCGAACCGCTGACCTTCTGATCGGCAAGTCCTAGGCTCTGTGGTTTAACCCACAGCGCCACCCAATACCAGGAAAAATACAAGGTAGCTACACCACTCTCATTTCACAGAAATTGCTCACAAGGTACCGTAGTACATTTTGCCCCGTGAGGTTCTATCTAGGAGGGCTAGAAATAAAAGAAAGCTCAGAGTCATAGGTGCCACTAGAAGTCTTCAGGGGTGCTATAGCGCCTGTGGATGTTAGCTTGGTTGCCATTGGTTTAGTCAGTGCTGAGCTAGATGTACCAATGGTCTAATCCAGTACAAGGCAACTTGCTCTGTTCCCACAAGCCAGGCCATCCTTATGCTTCAATCTTGATTTTGTCCGCACAGAACTGAGCAAAATAACCCGTTTTGGGAGGCGGGTAATAGCTGTGCTTCTGTAACTTTTGTTTTGCACATAAAACAAGCCGCCTTATGTGTAAAACACCGATTTCAGGTTGAAAAGTGTTGTTAATTGCTTGGGGCACAAAGCTTAACATGTTAAATTGTAGTACCTCTTGGTTTCAGCTGGCTACTTCTTAGAAGAACAGAACAAGCATATTACACATCTGTTGTGCTTGGAAGATTTGCTTGTCGCAGAAACTCTCTTTCAAAAACTAAGGGTCTATGAAACAAGTGCTAGATGTTGTTTCTCCAGACTTGCTTTAATTTATTTGCTGTAATTTTTTTTTTACCCTGCCTTTCCTCCTATGAGCAAAAGGCAGCACGCCTCTCTCCCAATCCCAATTTTATCCTGACAACAACTCTGCAAGGTAGCTTGAACCAAGATAGAATCCTAGAATCATGGAGTTGGAAGGGACCCCAAGGGTCATCTAGTCCCACCCCCTGTAATGCACTGACCACAGCTAAAGAATCCCTGATAAATGGCCATGCAACTTCTGTTTTGAAACCTCCAATAAAGGAGATTCCACCACCTTCCAAGGCAGCCCACCCTGCTGTCAAAAAGCTCTTACTACCAGAAAGTTCTTCCTAATGTTTTGTTGGAATCTGTTGTCTTACTCATGGTTTCAGGGTCTACCTTGTGTTTTCATTTTGTATTTTTATGTTGTGAACTGCCCAGTGATCTGCGGATGAAGGGCGGTATACAAATTTTAATAATAATAATAATAATAATAATAATACCACCACCCTCTGGAGCAACAGAAAACAAGCTTGCTCCACCTGCCTTGTGACAGCCCTTCAGATATTTGAAGATGGACTCTGATCATGCTTATCTGGATGGAGGATAGACAGAGGTACGTGTAAAAATTAGACTATGTAGAAAGACAACGTTCGTATTCATTGCTATGCCAACTTTTGCCTGTGGCCCCAGCCATCCATGGCATTTGGACCCCAGAAGATTAACCAGAAAGGAATGTGGCCCCCAGACGGAGCAAGTTCTCTAGCCCGAGTGCCAGATAAGGAGGTCAGGATAGCCCGAGGCTCCCTTCCCCCTGCTGTGAGCCATTGTTAGAAAACTGTCTCTGGATTCTTTAATCCTGCCTCTCTCTCAACCGTTTTTAAAACCTTCAATGCCAAGTAGGAACATTTGAGAGCTCTATGGGGCTTCTTACTCCTCCTCGAGATATTTTGGATCGCACCATCTTGGAGTAGTTATGTGGCGTCATAAATCACAAGTAGGGCATGGATTTTCTATATGAATTCAGCCTTGTGAAGCCGACTCACTTTGGAGGTTAGAAATAAAGAACCCAAAGCCAGATGTGCATATAAATCCACATATGTGCTCCTTTCATTTTTCACATTTGTTGTTTAAAGGCAAGGGTGTTTAGCTTAGGGATCTACAGCAGAGCTTAACAGTTCTGTTGTTGTTTTTTAAAAACACACACACACACACAATTTTTTCTTTGACCTTAAAGGGAGCATTATGATGTTCAGTAAATAGCTTGTTTGCTTTGTACAGGAATGATTTGTAACATCCATGGTTTTCTCCAAACAATTTGTTTTTACACCATGAGATTTAGTGTCAGGGACTTAGAAAATGGAATTGTTTTATGAGCACAGAGCAATCACTCTAGGGCATGCTTATTTCACAAAATAATACCCCCTCCCTGCTCTTTTCTTCCAAATCTTACCTTCCTGGAGAAATGATATATTCACCACATGTGCAGTGCTGGCTGGTCTTATTATGGCCAGTGGGGCACTGCCCCACCAACCTCAGTCTGCTTCCACCACCTCCCACCCACCCACAGGCCTACCTCCTTACCTAACCAGTCCAGAGGTCAGCACTGCCTGTGAGCTTCCCTCCTCCTTGGTCTTAGTGTTCTCCTTCTAGAACTCCACAGGGAGGAGAATGGGGATGCCTGAGAGGAGTGTTACAGGAAGACTGGCCTAACATCCTGTGGTCAGCTGTGGGTCAATTGAACTTCTGTTCTCAGACAGGTCAGTATCATATCTGAGAAACAAAGAAGGGCTTTTTACACAGGGAGGTGTGGGGAATCCAGAAAAAGACAAGAGTGTGCCTCAGAACACATGTAAGCTCTTAGTGTGTACTGTAGTGCAGTGGTTAGAGCAGCATCCCCACCAACATGGTTTTCTCCAGATGTTTTGAGTGACAACTTCTACCATCCCTGTCATGATCCAGGGGCCAGAGGTTCAGTCCAAAGAGGGTAAAGTCTTTTACGAAAACACTTACCCAAAAAAGTAGGGTTCAAGGTGAAGATCAGTCTTCACAAGCCAAACACAAGCATAGAGAATCTGTCCAAGTCCAAAACATAATCCAAAAACAAGGTTATGGAACAGTCCAAGATCAATCTCACAAGGAGTTTATGAAGCAAGACAGGAAAACTATTTTTATTCTGTTTTTTCGTTTACTTTTATTGCATTCATATCCTACTTTTTTCTTCAGGAATATCATGGTGACATACATGGTTTCCACCCCTCTTCCTCATTTAATCCACACAACAATCATTAAGGTAGATTAGACTAGCCCAAGGTCACTCAATGAGCTTCATGCCCAAGTGAGGATTTGAACCCACGTCTCCCAGGGCCAACACTCGAACCCAACCTGTTGTTGGATTCCAATTCCCATCATATCCAACTACTGGCCATGCTGGCTAGAAATGATAGGAGTTGTAGTCCAACAACATTTAGGGACCCAAGGTTGAGAAAGGGTGCTCTAACCACTGCACCACATTCAAACAAGGTGCCACAGACCTGCATTGCCTCCAGGTACTAGGAGACTAGGTGACCTTATATACTCTGGCCTATTGGAACACTCTCTAAATTCAGCGATGGGCTCTTCACACACACTTTTTGCCACAGGGGTGGACTCTCCCAGCCCAACTTGCTGGAGAGTGAACCTGGAAACTTCTTCGTGCAAGGCACGTGTTCCACCACTGCCTTTTCCAATCTCAGGGGTGTGGGGTCGAGCCCCATGTTGGGCGAAAGGTGGTTTGAACATATTTCACCAATCCTGGCCAGAACACACTGTCTGCCAATTAGTTTCCGGGCCCAATTCAAAGTGCTGGTTTTGACCTCTAAAGCCTTAAATGTCTCAGGAGAGTACTTCAATGACTTCCTCTCTCCATATGTACCTACCCAGACCCTGAGATCATCTTCTGAGGCCCTTCTTCATGTGCCTCCTCCACGAGAGGTCCAGAGGGTGGCAACATGAGAACAGGCCTTTTCCATGGTGGGTCCCCATTTGTGGAATGCTTTCCCCAAGGAAGTTCTGCTGGTACATTCATTATACACCTTTAGGCACTAGGCAAAAACATTCCTTTTTAACCAGGCCTTTGGCTGATTGACATCTGATGCCCTTTTAAAATGTATTGTGGAAAGGGGGATTATTGGGTTGCCTTTGTTTTTATTTGATTACGTATTTTGGGATTTTTATATTGTAGTTTTATGTTGTGAACCACCCTGAGATAAGGGAGGCATACAAACAAACAAATAATATTGCAAGGGGTTGGACTAGATGATCCTCACAGTCCTTTCCAACTCTACAAATCTGCGTTTCTCAAATCTTTGCTGTGAGATTGAGAAATACAGTGCCTGATTGGTGTAAGAACCATGTCCTACCTTAGCTCCAGGCAATAGAACTGCTGGGCTATGGAACATGCAAGCAACATTCTGCTTGCGGCTCTGTATTTCTACGTTGTTACCCAGGATCACAACCACTTCCCAGCAATAAAATCTGGGTGGCCTGATTTTTATACCGTCCTGCAGCACAGCAATTGGATTTAAATTAATCTATATTAAGAAGCAGAATGTGAGCTGGCTTCCCCCACCCCCTTCAGATGAGAAATGCGTTGAGAAGGTGAAATCCTCTTTGGGTTTTTTTTTTATAATTCTGTTCCTTACTGCTGGGGTCCATTCTCAAGGGATTTCTTGCAGAGGGAAGGCAGAGTGAGTTATCTGCACTGAGGTTTGAAAATCAGATATAATGATAGTTCTGCTGATGGGTGAACACACATTAGATGCCGTGAGTCCCCCGAAGCTCTCAGGATCGGGTTTGGGTTGGCAGGATCCGATGGAAGAGGAGGCAGAAATATGGGGAGGGGGAACCTGGGTTGGAGGAGGAGGGAACTCCCCTCTTTGCCCTGTGGAAGGGGGAGCAAGGATCTTCCCCAGTGCTTTGATCAGCCAAGATGTGGGGCTGAACAGGAAGTGGCCTGAGCAGGAGAGTGCAGCCTTGTCACCTAGAACCAGACAATGCCTTTGCAGATGGGAGCAGACCCACCAATGGAGTGCCCACCTGCAGCCAACAGCTATGAATACCAGCTGCTGGGAATTGCAGGTGGGCAGACAGCTGTGGTACTCTGGTCGTGCTTGCTTGTTTCCCACAGGTGTCTGCTTGGCCACTGTGAGAACAGGATGCTGAACTTTGGAAAACGAGCGAGGTCCCAGCTGAAGAAGAATGGCAACTGAAGCTGATGGAATATGTGCAGCTTGCGGACTTAACATATAGAATAAGAGAACAAGAAGAACATACGTTTAGAGAAGATTGGAAAATGTTTATTGAATATATGGGGGGGAATTGTGTACACTTGAAAACGTTGGCAGCATTAAGATAAATTCAACAGTTTTGATGGATGTAATAATGGAATACTGAATGGTTTAGTTTATGTAAAATATGCAGGGATTTACGACTGGCAAAATGAACCATGGAAAGAGAAGAAGGGAAGTCACTGATATTTTAAGGATGTTTACATGAGTATTCTAAATTGTAAAATACAAAATTTAATAAAAATTATATACCGTATTTTTTGCTCTATAAGACTCACTTTTTCCCTCCTAAAAAGTAAGGGGAAATGTGTGTGCGTCTTATGGAGCGAATGCAGGCTGCGCAGCTATCCCAGAAGCCAGAACAGCAAGAGGGATCGCTGCTTTCACTGCTCAGCAATCCCTCTTGTTGTTCTGGCTTCTGAGATTCAGAATATTTTTTTTTCTTGTTTTCCTCCTCCAAAAACTAGGTGCATCTTATGGTCTGGTGCGTCTTATAGAGCGAAAAATATGGTATATAAAAGTGAACAGGATGCTGAACTAGATGAACCATTGGCCTGATTCAGCAGGCTCTTCTTAGGTTCTGGTATTCCCACAGCACAAGAAACGTGCCACAAGTGAGCATGCCATGCCTCATCTTCAAAAGCATGCCAGGAGGGGAAACCTGTGAGAGCCTCTCTGCTCCTTCTGTCCAGTTCTGAGCTCCTCGCTTTGCTCCTGAGTCGTGACTCCTGAGCATGGCACCTGCTGTCGATGCTCTACGGTTACTTGCGCAAATAAAGATCCCTTTTCTGCTTCCAAGAATCAGAGTCTAGCTGTGCATGTGCTAGGTAGGAGCCCGGACATGAGAGCTCAGAGGCAAGATATGAAGAAGCATTTAAAATCTTGTTATTGTGCTGCAAGCTTAAGGATCTTACTCGGTTTGCCTTGGTGGCTGTCGAAAGGTGCGGTCCTGAGAACAAATCCCAGGCAGCTGTTTAAGAACCTCCAGGCGTGTGAGGACCGTGTTCCGATTTAGAGAGATGTCAAAGGACAGCCTTCCAAGGAGTTAGGCCAGATTAAACATGAGTAGCAAACAGCATCAGAATCCATCCTGTGGTCTGCGGCAATGCCAGTAATCGTGTCTGACACAGCGAGCGCCCATCCTTTCAGAAACTGACATACTGCTTCTGCCACAGATCCCCAAGTACACACTGTCTCTTCTTCCTACTTATTAGCACATGTTTCTCAAGAGCTACTCCAACAAAATTCCAGGTGCTCTGTCTCATTCATGTCTGTTTTTCCTTCTAGACCAAACCCAGTGTTCCAGCCATACATTCTGCAGGAGGTGCTGAGTGATGGACGAATCTATTTCCAGGTTGTTGTTGTTGTTTTTAGTTTTGCCTTTTTCCAGTGCTAAGTTCAGTTTTCCACACTTCCACATCGGTTTGCAATTTTAAAAAATCATCGTGGAAACGCACCAACATTTCCCCATGACAGAACTGACGCAGGGACACAGACCTGATGGGCTTGTGGCTGTCTTCATTTAGACTTGGTTCTGTGATGTCATCACAGAGCCAAATCTGATTGATGATGCTATGGCAATGCTATGACATCACTTCCACAATGGCGATCATGTAATTAGCAAGAAGGGAATATGAAACTTGTCTGAACTGAGGACTGCCATGCCATCACTCCAATTTGATTTTGTAGGGTCTCCAAAAACCACTTTTTTCATACACACGTAAGTGGTTCTGATTACAACTCATTTGCACAGGAGAGTTCCTTGTTTCTCTTTTTCCTACAGTGATCTCTAACTGGTTGCAGTCTGGTAAAAGAGCATGTAGTACATCTCACTTTAAAGGGGGGATTTTAAACAGCCAACTTTTAAAGCTGCTAACTTAAATATTATGACACCTGAGAACATGTTTACTGTATAGACAGAGTAGTATTTTATCTCAGTCAAAAAATAAAATAAAAAACAACAACAAGTGGACTACAAATCTGGCACTGAAATAAATTCAATTTAGCCTCATGTAATTGCTTATTCAATTCTCAGATATGACATGCTGTTAGACCACAAATTGACATTCTGTTGCTTCTGTTTCAATAAGCTTAACTTGAACAAGTTGCCCTCTAGGTACATCCCGAATGGAAAGCTACTTTATCTTCATCCCAAGAAAATTAGTGTGTTAAATTTTGTTTGAAAAATTGTTATCCAAAGCATGACACTTTCTCAGCCAGTGGTGAGACTGCACAATTAATATATGTGTATTTTAAATACAATATTTCTTTTAAAGCCAGCACAAAGACCGTAGAGGAGATTTATACATTATATCAGCTTCTTCATTGGATAATGATGATGATGAATCTCAGTGCTTTTTCTGGGTGTATTCAAGGGTAAGTAGTACCGGTACCACCCCCTCCATTAAAAGTGTGGTACTTACTCTAACAACTTCAGGGTAAGTACTAGACCTTTTTCTGTATAAAAAAAAGCACTGATGATGATGATGATGATGATGATGATTGTACCCCGCCCATCTACTTTTGCCTCTGGCCCCACCTAATACTGGCCAGTGGCCCCCAGAAGGTTGTTCAGAAGGGAATGTGGCCCTCTGCAAAAAGGTCTCCCACCCCAGTTTTAGAGGATCCTTTAGAGGCATTCTCAAAAGTTGCAATGCCTTCTCTAATCCTCAAGCTCTTCCACTGAAATGGATTTGAAGGTTGCTATGAAAGGACCCTGTGATTATCCAAAACAATTTCAAGCCTATGGTCTCATCCAACTCAGAATAGGCTTAGTCATAACACGGGCTATTAAATGCACGGTCCATTTCCTCGTGAAAGCATCACTGTAATACATAGCTAGCTTTCATTCCCACTCTCTCATTTTGGCCATTCCGTTAAGTCACCAAATTGCCCTCACCTTCTCTCGCCAGAACTCTTTAACAAGGATGCATTGCCTCATCATAAGTGACTAGAGCTTCCACAGTGCCCAGAATCATTGATTGAGAAGCACCATCTCTAAACACAGAGCCCTGAAGGCACTTTTGCTCTATGTGGTCAACTTTGAAATGCCCTTGGCCCAGTCACAGCCAAAGGGCATTATTTAGATAAGTTGAAGTTTTGGGTTTTAAGCTGATTAGTGACCCAATACTACAACCTGGTACCTCTTCATAGTAGTCTCTTGGAAAGCGGCATTATGCCAGCACTATAACAACTTCCAGACCCAGTTCAATGTTCTCGTTTTGATTTTTGGAAGGAGACTTTGGTAGACACAGGACCACATTCCCAAAGGGGTCCTCCATGACTGGCATGTCTCTCTTTTAGTCAGAAGGAGAGAATTACAATGGCTTTACACGGTGGGGTGGGGTGAGGAAATCTAATGCTATTCAAGGCTGTATCATCAGAAGTATATACAGTGTCCAGATCAAGGGAAGTAATCGTACTACTCTATTCTGCCTTGGTCAGACCCCACTTGGAGTCCTGAGTCCAGTTCTGGGCACCACAGTTTAAGAAGGATGTTGACAAGCTGGAATGTGTGCAAAGGAGGGCAGCCAAGATGATCAAGGGTCTGTCAGCCAAGCCTTATGAGGAATGGTTGAAGGGCCTGGCTTTGTTTACCCTAGAAAAGAGGAGAGTAAGAGGAGATATGATAGCCATCTTCAAATATCTCAAGGGCTGTCACATGGAAGATGGAGCAAGCCTGTTTTCTCTTGCTCCGGAGGGTAGGACTTGAACCAATGGATTCAAGTTACAAGAAAGGAGATTCTGACTAAACATCAGGAAGAACTTTTTGACAGTAAAAGCTGTTTGACAGTGGAATGGTCTCCCTCAGGAGGTTCTGGGCTCTCCGTCACTGGAGGTTTTTAAGCAGAGGTTGGGTGCTCATCTGTCATGGATCCCTTAGTTGAGATTACTGCATTGCAGGGGGTTGGACTAGATGACCCTTGGGTTCCCTTCCAACTCTAAGATTCTATGATCTAGGGATAAATAAATATAAGCACAACCTCAGAGAGGAAAATGAATGCTTTTTAATTCCCCGCCACCACCTTTGATAGTGCTCGAAAAATGAAACCTGTGCTGCTGATAGTAGTACAACTCATGCAACACATTGGTGACTAATATACACACAATAATTACCAAAATAATAAATAAGATAAAGAAAACAAAGGACTGAGTTAAGCATTTGAAAAATCCATTGAAACCAGACATTATAAGTTCATCTTAGGTTTGGTAGTTCGTAAGTTTGCACAAGGTTTTGTATTTTTCTGAGAAGATCTCTCACCTTTGATAGTGGCACAAAAGCCCCTGGGCTCCTTTGACTGCACTGCAATTTGACAGGGTTTCTTACCCAGGGATGCTTCTCTCACACCTGGGATTTCCAGGCACACCGCCTACAAGAGACCCTGCTTGCCCCTCAAGATCTCCTTGACCTGTGGAATGTTTGGTTCATCCCCTGAGGACTCAGTGTTTGGCATCAGGTCAGGGTTAGGTATGACACTACCCGATGGTTGGACAGGCTTTGGGTATGATGGTTTGGGCTAATGAAAGTTGGAGATCAAGAACATCTGGATGTCCACAGGTTCTCCTTTCCTTCCCTAGGAAGTCAATCAGCCTGCGGGCTCATAGGCCAGAATGTTCCTCCATACAAAAAGTCCCCTGTACACAGGGAGAAGGTTTTAGCTATGCAATGCAAAATTGGCTTGAGAAACGTTATTTGTAATCCCTAAAGCAAGTGATGTACTGACTTGAAAAGTGTTATCAAGGAGTCCCTAAAGCAAGCAATGAACTTTTATCTTGACACTTTCAGATTCCCCGTAACAACTGAGCAATGACTGCAATTTATTTTGTGTGGGTGTGTTGAAAATAATCATGTAGATTATTTTGTCTTTGCAAATCCTATAATGACCTGGCCTAATCCACACTTCACAACTCTGAATGTGCAAATCAGAATTTAGCTGCCCACTGAATATGTCACTTTCTCTCAATTTAGCAAAAAAGTTCTCAGACGCTTAACTTGTCAGAGTAGTTTCAAACTGCTCTGGCATTTGGAAAGGTGCATTTTGTAGGGGAAATATGCTTTAAAATTTCAGTCCAGACTTTATTGTTTCTTAAATGGAAGTTAATGCTAAAATCAGATGGAACAGACTTATAGGTGAACATGTGTGAAAATGACATCGATGAGAAATAGACAGATTTTCTCATCCCAAATGTGAATAGAGAGCTGCAGGCAGAACAGGAGGTATGTGCCTGCTGCAGCTGGCTTCTGTAGGCTGACAAAGGAGAGAAGGAGTCTGAGAAGGGTCTCAGCATCCATCAATGTGTCATCCTTGCAGGCCACCCAACTGTAATGATGGGTGGCCCAGAATGAGACCACTGTGGCGTCAGTGGGTCTTGGAGGATGCTCAGGAGCACAAGGAAAATTTTTGGCAGATTGATGCTGCAGGAGAAGGGGCTAGTTTGGAGTGTGAATGCAAATTGGATGGAACTAAAGGAATAGCATGAGACTGGAAGAGACTGAGATGGAAGGAAAGGACAAGTGAGTGAGAAAAGGCAAGAAGGGGAGAAGAAGATAGAGCAACATAACTGCAAACAAAAGTTATTGTAAATTGGGAACCGAGGGACCAGACGCAGCAGCCCAGAAAGAACATGCATTTGCATGCAGGCCGTATCATAAAGCAGGAGAGTCAGTGAGCTTGCCCTGCCTCACATCTAAAAGCTTGGTGGGAGCAGTGTGACAAATTGTTGGGACATCTTCATTGCATCCTTTCGGTTCTGCATCTTTCACCTTACTCGTGTGCCTAGGCATCATGACTTTTAGATCCTGTGCTTGCTGCTGAGCCCATACTTTTATTAGCCTGAATAAAGATCTCTTCCTTAAGTTAGAACTGCTGTTCTTATGTTTTGGGATAGGAGAGTGACAGGCAATCTGCTGGGTCACTGCTCACTGGGTTCTCTGCTTTCTCATTCGTCCTGATTAGACCTTCCATCCCAGGAGAGCCTTGGCACGAAAGATTCCTGGTAGCTAAAAGAATGTTCCTACACAAACACTGAGCTTCTCGCTAGGTTCTCTACTGCTTTTGCTCTTGAGGTCCAGTAATGGGGGAGAATTAGGGGCCAACACAGAGCATTGCAAGTGAAATTCATGAAGACTAGCTACTTTGAACAGCCTTAAAACTACAGCAAGTTACTCCAGGTGTCCAGCTGAATTGGGGTTCTCTCGTGGCTCCCCCACCACTTCAGAAAAATCTTCTCATGAGATCTTGCCATACATTGGAGCTGATGTCAGTCACCCCTGGATTAAGGAGTAGGAAGTTGAGGTAGTGCTCGTTCTTGGACCCTAGTTGGAAGTAAGAAGGCAGGCAGGTTGGGGGGTGGCTGAGGTTGATGGGGCACTGCCCCATTTCCCCATATGGATTGGCCTCTGGTAGAAGAGAAGGTGCATTGTCAAGCAGCAAAGTCTTGGAATGTGTCTGTATAAATGGCCTTCTGTCAAGCTTCCCATATTGAGGTTGGGGAGGGGGGAGAGTTAATGACAATAAAGCAGTTTATTGTGTCTAGCCAGTTTTCCAACCAATGGTCTCCTCTCTGACTGCAAAGCGGCATCAGTTAGACATATCAAAAACTGAAAGAAGAGGGTATAAACAAAGTCTTCTAGCCGTTGGCTTGGAAACCTGTGTTACTAAAGTTCAATTTTCAGTCCTGATGCACATTCACCCTGCTGGGTCTGAAGTCAAATACACATCAGTCCATCATCAGCTGGTTTGCTGGGTGTGGGCACTGCTGAATTTCCAGCGCACAGTATCAAGGCCAGAGCTAGCAAGCTTGAGCACCAGGGCATGTCACAAAATGATATGTGACATTAAATGCACGGAAGCATTTAGTGCTCAGGTATTATATTCTTCAAATAGCCACTGTAGGGGAAGGGAGTGGTGAATAGGGTTGTAACAGGGCATCCTTTCCCTATTCCCTATCTTGCTGAAAATCACTCCCTCCATGAAGTTGCTATTGGTCTGATGGGAGGCTTCCACTGGTGCCAATGGGAACTTAAAGGGCACTCCTGGTGATTCCTTGGCAAGGGAGACTTGCTATCACTGCTCATCAGCTGATCAGCGGTGGCAGCAAGTCCACTGGGATTGGCCGTGCTTTGGCGTTCCCAGTGGAAAACTCTGTAGTGCAGCTGCCTCCTGCCCAGGGCTTGCAGTCGGTGCTGATGGGCAGTGACCTCAAGCCTGCTGGGATCAGTTACACTAAAGAGGGACTGCTGAGTGCAAGCAGGGCTTGAAGTCCATGCCAATCAGCTGATGGGCAGTGACTTCAAGCCCTGCTCAGATTGCCTTGGATCTTCCTTTGAGCTCATCTGCTGCCATGGTTATGTAAGGCAATGGACAAGTGGGCACCCCAACCCACTGACCTGGTGGAGGTGGGGAAAACCAGCATCTGGCCCACCAGGTGGAAAAAGCTCCCCACCTTGTGCTATGCGATGCAGCACATTCCCAAGCCTTCTTCCAGCCCAGCCCCCAGAAAACATTGGGAAGGATGTTGCTCACCAGCTTCAGCTTCATGTTGCAAGTCACAGATCTGATGGATGAGCCTTTGCCATTGCCTCCTTTGGGATACCCCCCCTCCAAATGCTAGAATGGAGCTGTGTCGGGAAGTTTTTAATGGTTGACAATTTATGTTTTTATATGTGCTGGAAGCTACCCAGAGTGGCTGGGGAAACCCAGCCAGATGGGTGGGGTATAAATAAAACAACAACAACAGCAGGTTTAGCAAAACCTAGAAGGCAGCCCTTGGTGGATATAGGAGCTCAAGATCCAACCTGCCAGATCTCTTCCCCACCCCTGTTGTAGGTTGGGGGGGGGTCCCTCCCAATTGGTTGCTGCTATGAATAGAAAAGTGGGTTGTAAACAGATCAAAAAAGATATGCGGGTGGCGCTGTGGGTTAAGCCACAGATCCTAGGACTTGCCGATCAGAAGGTCGGTGGTTCGAATGCCCGCGACGGGGTCAGCTCCCGTTGCTCAGTCCCTGCTCCTGCCAACCTAGCAGTTTGAAAGCACGACAAAGTACAAGTAGATAAATAGGGACCACTCTGGCAGGAAGGGTGGGACGCGGGTGGCGCTGTGGGTAAAACCTCAGCGCCTAGGACTTGCCGATCGTCAGGTCAGCGGTTCGAATCCCCGCAGCGGGGTGCGCTCCCGTTGCTCGGTCCCAGCGCCTGCCAACCTAGCACTTCGAAAGCACCCCCGGGTGCAAGTAGATAAATAGGGACCGCTTACTAGCGGGAAGGTAAACGGCATTTCCGTGTGCTGCACTGGTGCTGGCTCACCAGAGCAGCTTCGTCACACTGGGCACGTGACCCGGAAGTGTCTTCGGACAGTGCTGGCCCCCGGCCTCTTAAGCGAGATGGGCGCACAACCCTAGAGTCGGACACGACTGGCCCGTACGGACAGGGATACCTTTACCTTTACCTGCCGGGAAGGTAAACGGCGTTTCCATGTGCTGCTCTGGTTCGCCAGAAGCGGCTTAGTCATGCTGGTCACATGACCCGGAATCTGTACGCCGGCTCCCTCGGCTAGTAAAGCGAGATGAGTGCCGCAACCCCCAGAGTCGGTCACGACTGGACCTAATGGTCAGGGGTCCCTTTACCTTTTAAACAGACCAAAACAAGCATGCTAACTTCATAGATAGCTACAGCGAAGGCTTGCCTTTTTGGGCAAAAGTGCACTGCCCTACCAATACCTCAGCCATCCCCAGCTGCCTGCCTTCTTACTTTCAACTCGCCCAGAAGATGTCTGTGGCTCCCAGCTTCCTCCTCCTCAGTCTCAATGTTGCCCTTGTATAATGCAGCAGGGGGGAGAATGGAGATAAATCTATAGTCAGCTCTGGTGGTCAATAGCTCTGGCTCCACCTACTGTTTGGGCTCCCTGCCTTCTCCCTCTCCAGGTCAAATGGGCACCAGCCACTATTGAGTATTGAATGCTTTAAGTTTATTACAGAGGCTAGTGATTCACATGGAGGTTGATTTGCGCAGCATAATGCACATATGGTCCCTAAACCTGGAAATCTGGAGAACAGGATGGCTCCCAAGAATATAGTAACTGCTCATAGCTGCATTGAAAGCTGCCATTTACTTTCCCATGATGGCCTAGTAGAAGAACCCTCTGATTGACAGTGTAGTCTTATAGATGTGCACACAGAGGTAATCCCATTGAATGCAATGGAATATTCCCAGGTAAGTGCATACAGCAGCTGTTACCACCTGGTGGATCGTGGACCCCAAAGGGCCCATGGCACATACCCATCAACTGTCCAGAACATCCCATTTTTCGGGTCATGTGAGACTGTGGCCCAGAAAATGCACGTCCTGATTTTGTGCTGGGACATGTTGGAGGATATCTGGTGGCACCATTCACATAACATAAACTACTACAGAGATATCATCATTTTCAATGATGGGGGTCCATGGCTTGGCTTTTGAAAAACAGGGGATCCACAGAACTTAGCTAATTGGGAACCACTGGTGTACAGGATTGCAGCCTCGGGGGATGAGTCTTTGGCAGTATGATTAAAAGCTTTTAAAAAGAAGGGGCTTGAGTTTTGGAAAATCACATCTGAGAGTTTACTGAATTCAAAGCCTGGCACGGAGGAAATTGCATGTGGAGATACAGAGGAAAGGAGGGTGCAGCATTTTGAAACAATTTCTTTTTTTATCTCTAGGACATGTTTACGAAGATCAGGAATCTTCGCCTTATTGCCCAGGGTTGCCTTGCAGAACAAACAGGCAAGAAATGAGGTAACTTAATGGAAGTTCTTGAAAACTCAGATGCCTCAAAGTAATTTGGGTTAGCCATCCATCACGAGTGTTGAGGAGACATCTCTATCTGGCGCAGCGCATATTTTGAAGGGGGGGGGAGGGACAACTGCACAGATGATGGGAAATAAACACACAAAAAGTATTCTGCTCTCCGAAGTATTATCTAGCCAGCAACTAAACCTTAATGGAAGCGAGGGCTCAGCCCTGGGAGTTCAGTTCAGAAGGCCAGGGTTCAGTTGGGAGGTACACAAAGTTTTTAAAAAGCGAACAATGCCCCATAGCATGTTCTTTATTAACTGCTTTGAGGTTTTATTGCAACCAAACAGTATACAAATTTGGTTAAATACATACAGTGGTGCCTCGCAAGACGAAAAGAATCCGTTCCGCGATTCTCTTCGTCTAGCGGTTTTTTTGTCTTGCGAAGCAACCCTATTAGCGGATTAGCGGATTAGCGCTATTAGCGGTTCAGCGGCTTAGCGGCTATTAAACGCTTAGCGGCTTAGCTGCTAAAAGGCTATTAGTGGCTTAGCGGCTTAGAAAAAGGGGGGGGGGAGAGAAAACAAAATCGCAAGACTAGCAAGACGTTTTCGTCTTGCGAAGCAAGCCCATAGGGAAATTTGTCTTGCGAAGCATCTCAGAAACGGAAAACCCTTTCGTCTAGCGGGTTTTCCGTCTTGCGAGGCATTCGTCTTGCGGGGCACCACTGTATATGAAATGTTTTGAGTACCGTTCCCTCACCACAGGGACCCACACATATGTGGACTTTTATTTTTGGGAGGTGGGGATTTGTTCTTCATGAATTTCCATTTGAACTGACCTGGTCCACACCTCTCAGACTAATGTGTGGGTTTCATAACATCCGACCTTCAGATTTTGCACTTGTCTGAATCTTGTGGCGCAGCTCTCAGTTAAAAAAAAAAAGATACAAAAATTACATTTAAAAATGTAAGACTGGGAGCTGTTCTCCTGGAAACAGTTTCCCCCAGGGAACCTGCTCTCTTGAACGTCAGTTCCATTAATCATATTATAGATATCAGGGGAGAATATATAGATTTCTGTTGGGAACAATTTTTGAAGTACCCTTAAGACAAAAGCAAAAACCTCTGGCATATATTCCTGCTACCACAAGTCACTATCAGGGATTGATTTGAGCCACAGTTTGCTAATGAGCTACATTTTTAGGATCAAGGTTCAGCCTTGGAATGCTGTATTGATATAACACAAGTGCCTCTGAGGATATGCAGAGTGATTTCCCATCAATACCAAGGCATTCAATATCTCCAATAAAGCAGGGGCTGGGGGTATATACAGATCTCTAGGTCAGAAGGCATGGCTTTGGGGGCAGGGGGAATGAATCCCAGCACTTTGCATTTTCTAAATGAAAAACAGGTTCCTATCAAAAAAAAGAAGCCCCAGCTCCCATTGCAGGTCTCTGCCTTCTCCAAACTAGAGATGGGGGAGAAGTTTAGCTCACTTCACATTTAAAGGTAAACCTACCTAATTCATACCACCTGGAACTTTATGAGGACCAAAACACATTCATTCTTTGAAATTTGCACTTCTTTGAATTTTGCCAACAATGCGTTTGCTACAATAAAATGTAAATTAAATGTAAATGTGGATTAAAATGCATATACTGGTGAAAAGAGCACACACACACACACAATGCATTATACTAGGAGAAATTGCTTACAAAAATGTGTATGTTGGGCAAATTGTATTAAAAATGTGGATATTAGGAAAAATTCACACTTAAATTGCTGATGAACTTCCACGAGGACTTTAAAAAAAAAAAGTTTTTGTGAACTCAAGTGGAAACGGGGAGAACCAAGCTTAAAAATGGAAAAACAAGAATATGAAAGAATCAGAAATTGACAGATTCACCCATCCCTCTCTCAAATGTTATTATTTTTTCCCTTCTGTTGTCAGCTTTTGAAAACTGCGGGAGCCAGTTCTGCAAAACACATTTCAACTTATCACTGCTGGAGCTGGCTGCTCTTTTCTATGCTACACTTTTAAGTTGAGTTTTATGCCATCATCACATGCCATTCAAAACTGTTATGAACAGCTGAAATCAGTTAGGCAAGAAGAGTGCAGTAAAAGCCTGGTATTCTGTCAAGGATTTCCAAACTGCATGTCATAATCAAGGATACAGATTTACATTGCAAGGTTTATGTCCAAAGGCAACCTCTTTTCTGAGCCCTGATTTTGCATGGTGGAAGATGGTCATGGTGACCTAATCAGCCAAAGTCCAGACAGATGCGCTTGAAATTCCCCAAACCCTTTCCCACACTAATCAAAGGCTGCCCCCCCCCAATATAATTGTTGGCTATATCTACAATACTGATCCCATAGCACCAGTGTGATATCATACATGCCCTTCATATAATACAGCAGGAGTGAGGAACCTGTGGCTGCTGAGATCATAGAATTATAGAGTTCAAAGAGACCCCAAGGTTCATCTAGACCAACCCCCTGCAATGCAAGTTATCACAGCTAAAGGCTCCCTAACAGATGGCCATCCAACCTCCAGGACATAGCCGGTTCTCCTGTCAAACAGCTCTTACCATCAGAAAGTTATTTCTAATGTTTAGTCAGAATCTCCTTTCATGTAATTTGAATCCATTGGAGCGGGAGAAAACAAGCTTGTTCCATGTGACAGCCCTTCAGATATTTGAAGATGGCTATCCAAAGAATTGATGCTTTTGAATTATGGTGCTGGAGGAGACTCTTGAGAGTCCCATGGACGGCAAGAAGATCAAACGCATCCATTCTGAAGGAAATCAGCCCTGAATGCTCACTGGAAGGACAGATCCTGAAGCTGAGGCTCCAATACTTTGGCCACCTCATGAGAAGAGAAGACTCCCTGATGCTGGGAAAGATGGAGGGCACAAGGAGAAGGGGACGACAGAGGACGAGATGGTTGGATAGTGTTCTCGAAGATACCAGCATGAGTTTGACCAAACTGCGGGAGGCAGTGGAAGACAGGAGTGCCTGGCGTGCTCTGGTCCAGGGGGTCACGAAGAGTCGGACATGACTAAACGACTAAACAACAACAACAGATCATATCACCTCTCAGTCATCTCTTCTGCAGGTTAAACATACTAAATGTTTCTGGGCTACAACTCCCATAATCCCTGACCATTGACCCTGCTGGCTGGGGCTGGTGGGAATTGGAGTCCAACATCATCACGTTCACCACCACTGGAAGACAGAGTCATGGAATCATAGAATTGTAGAGCTGGAAGGGACCCAGAGGCTCATCTAATCCAGTCCCTGCATTGCAGGAATATCAACTAGAACATACAAGACAGGTCCCCATCCAACCTCTGCTTAAAAACCTCCAAGGAAGGAGAATCCATGACCACTCATGAAAGTTGAACAGCTTTTGCTGTCAGAAAGTTCTTTCTGATGCTTAGTTGGAATCTCCTTTCTTTTAACTTGAGGGTCCTACCCTCCGGAGCAGGAGGAGACAAGTTTGCCCCATCTTTCAAGTGGCAGCCCTTTAGATATTTAAAAGTGGCTGCCATAGCTCCTCCCAGTAAAATAGCAGATACAATGGTAAATTCAGAAGAAACGTGCCCTAAAATGCTGATGAATTTTCATCAGAACCCCTTTCTTAAAGCAGGCATAGGCAAACACCAGCCCTCCAGATGTTTGGGACTACAATTCCCATCACCCCTAGCTAACAGGACCAGTGGTCAGGGATGATATACCTGGCTGTGTCTGCATGGTTCAATTGCAGAATTAAGAATTTTAAACTTTTATTTATTGCTGTCATTTATTTCATTTATGAATCGTCTAGAAGTCATTTCATATTACAGAAAAAAAGTAAATACAAAACAACTGAATATATTAAAAACCACTGGATAAATAAAACGATAACTGTTTTATTTGTTATGCTTTTTAACTGGCTTGTTTTGTTGTGTATTTTAATTAAGGCTGTTTTAATGCTTTGATGGAACAGTTTTATTGTGCATTTTAATTATGCATGGATTTTGCAATTTATTTTATAGTTGTAGACCGCTTAAGGGCCATTTTGGTATGTATACAGTGTATACATTAATAAAATAATAATAAAAAATTTGAAATATGAGTTTATACATAAATTATGACATTTCCCTCTGTAGCTTTTGTGCAATGAGATGCCTACATTTTAATTGAGCATTCCATGTATTAGCAGCAATATCTTGTTGCAACCAGTGGCCCTCCAGTTGTTGTTCAACTCCCATCAGCCCCAGTAAGCATAACCAATAGCCAGGGATGATGGGTGTTGTAGTTCAGGAACTTCTGGAGAACAGGATTAAAGCTTCCCTACACCTGGCTTAGGGACGCGGGTGGCGCTGTGGGTAAAAGCCTCAGCGTCTAGGGCTTGCCGATCGAAAGGTCGGCAGTTCGAATCCCCGCGGCGGGGTGCGCTCCCGTTGCTCGGTCCCAGCACCTGCCAACCTAGCAGTTCGAAAGCACCCCCAGGTGCAAGTAGATAAATAGGGACCGCTTACTGGCAGGAAGGTAAATGGTGTTTCCGTGTGTGGCTCTGGCTCGCCAGAGCAGCGATGTCACGCTAGCCACGTGACCCGGAAGTGTCTCCGGACAGCGCTGGCCCCCGGCCTCTTAAGTGAGATGGGCGCACAACCCCAGAGTCTGTCAAGACTGGCCCGTATGGGCAGGGGTACCTTTACCTTTACCTTTTTACACCTGGCTTATTGTCTGGTCATGGTCAGCATTTGGTGCTGACCTTTCTGAGGCACTAAAAAATAAACAGAAAGGACTAGGGACTAGGGAACGTTGGGTATCTGGCTGGCATCAGATTGGCTGCGGGATCAGGCCAATGGACCATCTAGTCCAGCAAGCTGTTTTCATATTGACCAACCAGATGGGAAGCCTCAAAACAGGACATGAGTGCTAAATTCCAAGATGGTGGTGTTTCATATGGACCAGAAAGCAACTCACGTCGAAGCTTCTGTTCCATGCAAGGCAGTGCAGGCGAATGAATAATCAATCATTTTCAAATGTGACACGTCCCTGAGGATCAGCTGCCAAAGGACCAGCTACAAGGGGAGCATTCTGTAAGGATTCTTTCCGTGCATTGTTCCACCAAAAGATCATCTTGGGCACATCCATCAAAATAGCGGAGTTCTTAAATCAAGGCTGCGTGCCAAAAGGATAGAATGCTTTCATAAGGAAGAACAGAGACGCTGAGAGAAGTTCACCTGGCTACTGGAAAGTGAAGACAAATAGGTGAGGTGATAATTGGGGCTGCCTTCAGACAAGTCCTTAGTGGTTGCCAACGCTGGTGCCCCTGTCCCAATTTCAGACATTCCTTTTACACTGCATTACCAGTTGTGTTACGGAACTGTGCCCTTTTGATCCACAAACCACCACGTTGTGATGAATTTTAAATAGTGGGAAAGGAGGCATGCTGGGATACCACCCAAAATCTTGTCAAGTGACATTGCAATGCAGTTTTTTCAAGTTGACAGCATTACTCATTCCACTAGATTCTACCCGTTTTCTAAAAGTGGCTTTTACACTTTTAAACACTTAAAACATCACACAAAACACAAAAAATAGCAGGTAAGGAAATGTCGGGGAAATAGAATCAAGTGCTGTCTGAATGCACCCTGGACCTCAAGATCAACAACGTGCTGCAAAACAGAGCGCTCCTTATTCACGAGTTTTCTGACACTGCATTCTGTTCTTCCCCTTCTCACATAGTAAACATTTTGTGGACACTGAGCATGCTCAGTCCTCACTGAACTGTCACTGAGTTTCCCTAGCCTAGTAGCATTTTTTACCCCCTCAAATTTCTGTACCTTTGCTAACCTTGGATTCCTTGAAGCCTGCTGCTTGTCACTTAGGTATTATTATTATTATTAATAAAATTTCTATACTGCCTTTCATCTGAGATCACAGGCCCGTTTACAATATAAAAACACAAAAATGCATAATATAGTAACAAACAAAAACAATAGCCCTCCCTGCCACACAGTTTAGAAAGCCATAGTAAACGTAAAGGGACCCCTGGCCGTCATAGATAGCTTAATTAGCCAAAAGCCTAGGAGAAGAGGAATGTTTTTTGCCTGGTGCCTAAAGATATGTAATGAAGGTGCCTGCCGAGATTCCCTGGGGAGAGCCTCCCACAAATGGGGAGCCACCACAGAAAAGGCCCTTTCTCATGCTGCTGCCTTCCATGACTCTCATGGAGGGGACACACAAGGAAAGGCCTCAGATGATGATCGCACGGTCCGGGGTTGGTTCATATGGGAAGAGGCGGCATTACATGGCTGTCATGGCTAGTAGCCACTGGTTGCCTTATCCTCCATGAATTAGTCTCATTCCCCTTTAAAGCCATCCAAGTCGGTCTCTCTCGCTACATCTTAGAACAACACATCCTATGGTTTAACTGCATGCTGTGTAAAAGAGTACTTCTGTTTTGTCTGCCCACCTACATCACAGGGTTGCTGTGAAGATAAAGCAGAGAGGGCGGGAAAGAATGTATGCCACTTTGAGCCCCTCGGAGGAAAGATGGGTTATAAATGTGACAGTAAATATAATAACCATTTAATTGAGATGCTGCTTTGCATGCCAAAATGGCTTCCAAGTCATTTTACAAGGGTAAAATCAACTATGAAATCCTTCCATCATTAAAATGCGGAACAATTCCACAAAAAGCATTAAAATACCTGCAATGAAATAACAGCAAAATACCTACAGAAATGCAGCAAAAGCTTAACAATTAATAATAAAAAAACTGATTTAAACAATTAGATTACAAGTTCAAGGGAATGCTTACGTATACAGGTGTGTCTTCAAGAGCCATGGAAGGCCAGTTACTGTCCTCGGCTTATCCTGGGTCCTAGCAATAAGAAAAGGAAACAAAAAATCCTGTTATTATCCACTTTCTTCATTCCACACATTATCTTTTGCACCTCTATCATGTCCCTCCCTCCACCCCACCCCCCTTTTTAAAAGAAAAAGCATGTCTAGATTAAGCGTTTTTCATAACTGGTTGTTTCCATCAGGTAAATTTAGTGGAGGTGAACTGCAGTAATAATAAAAAGCCGCCTCGTCTTTTTGTACTTGACTCATTCTTAAACCTCGTCAGGATAGTTTCTCACAGAGCAGAATACAGCAGTGAGATTTCTTCATCATGCATGAAATTATTTTATTTTGACATTGTAACCAAGAAGGAAGTGACATGTAATGTTTTGTAGTGGAAATATTGAAGTTTGGATTCTGACAGGGAAGAAATATGATCCTGTTTTGAACAAAAGCGATTTATGCTAAGTCCAGACACATTATTCTTCTCTTACCCACTGACTGTGGAGAAACTCATGCTCTTGTTTGGAGAATTACTTAGTCAAAAGACGTCACATTTCTGTCCATATGATTTAGGTTGGATTTCTTCTGTTCCCTCACCCCAAACATTCTCCATCAATTAAGGAGGCACCCAGGAAATGCCCTTTCAAAACTGGTAGGCACATCTGAATTTTTTCGAAAAGCGCCAATGGTGCCAGTCACAAAATGGCTGCTGCAGGGTGTGGGGCACAACACAAAATGGTGACTGGTGATGGGTAAGTGTGTGGAAGCAGGTTCATGAAGATGGAGGTGGCAGTTGAGTACATTTGCACTGGGCCTTGGTAGGCTAAGCTCTGGATGGGCCTGTTTGGAAGTACACAAAATGGCTGACACTGGTGAGTGGCTGAACACAAAATGGTAGCCACATCGAAAAGAACAGAAAAAGAAAAAGACACCTATATCAGTTGCCACCATGCTCAGTCATTGAGAGACACTCTTGGCACTTTCCCTCTTTTTGTGCCCAACCCTGTCATGCAATGAAATGTGGACATGATTAAGGGGCATGCTCAATGGACAAGAGGCTGAGCAAACAGGAACTGAGCAGGAAACGCAAAATGTCTCTTGTGCACTGTGAAAATTTGAGGGGATTTTTTTAAAACCAAGATCTTTAGGGGGCACCTTAGGAAGTACTGCCAGACACATTGGTGCCTCCTGAGGTTGTGTTGGTGACCTCTAAGCCAGCCTCCTTGGCTTCCTGTGCTTCAGTTAAAATGTGAGGGAAGGTTTCATGAGGTAATGCCTTCCCTTGGGAGCTACCTCGCAATGATAAGACAAGCTCAACCTTGTACTCACTTAAGCAGTAAAATGAACGAGACAGAAAAACTGAAACCTCTTTCATGGGGGAAGATCTCTTTTTGAGAAATTGGCAGGCAGGTTCAACACCATTAGCCATTAGTCTGATCACAGGACATTACACACTCAGATTTGTTCCATGCCTCAAATTAGGGCTGGGCTTCTTGGACTGAACAGCACCCCTGGAGTCAAGTACTTAAGAACTCTCCAGTGAAGCCAAGGAGAATTTGGAACAAGCTTCTGTATTGGTGTATGGCATTAGTTTGCTAACAATCTGGACAGAGAAGCTGACCCAAATGAGAAGCAGATGCTATGGACGAAATGCAGTTGGTGATAAGAAGAGAGATCTCAGTCCAGAGTGCTCTTCCTATGACAAGTAGATTTATTTATTTATACCTCAACTTTCTTCACTCATAGTTAAAGGGATGGGAGGTAACTTAAGCAACCATCATATCCCTTACAGTGGTGCCCCGCAAGACGAATGCCTCGCAAGACGAAAAACTCGCTAGATGAAAGGGTTTTCCGTTTTTCGAGCTGCTTCGCAAGACGAATTTCCCTATGGGCTTGCTTTGCAAGACGAAAAAAATTCTGGGTTTGAATTTCTGTGTGGTGGGTGGCTGGGGGAACAGTTGGGGAGGGGCTTGCAAGAATCTGGAAGCTTGTGTGTTTTTTTCTGCATTTTTATGATTTTCTGTGACCATTGGGCCACTCTGCTGTTTTTTTAAAAAAATTCTGGATTTGAATTTCTGTGTGCTGGGTGGCTGGGGGAACAGTTGGGGAGGGGTTTGCAAGAATCTGGAAGCCTGTGTGTTTTTTTCTGCATTTTTATGATTTTCTGTGACCATTGGGCCACTCTGCTGTTTTTTTTAAAAAAAATCTGGATTTGAATTTCTGTGTGCTGGGTGGCTGGGGGAACAGTTGGGGAGGGGTTTGCAACAGTTCGTGAGGGGCTGGGGGAGCTTTTCAGGTGATGCGTCAAGGTGACTGATTGCACCACCATCACCCTGCGGGAATTCTGGAAGGACCACTTCGACATCGTCACCTGCTTGAAGATGATCACCACGGCCTGGAACGGGATCAGCCAAAGAAATTTGAATTGCGCTTGGCGCAGCCTGTGGCCGGACTGTGTGGCACCAAGTGACTCTGATGCACCAGAGTCAACAGTGGTGCAGGACATTGTTGCCTTGGGGAGGACCATGGGCCTGGAGGTCACAGAGGAGGACATCAGCGAGCTGGTGGAGCACGACCACGAGCTCACCACCCAGGAGCTGGTCGAACTGCAGGCAGAGGCTGCGCAGGAGCAGGCCTCGCTGGAAGAGGAGGAAGCAACTGAGGAACGGCTGTCCTCCAAAGAACTGAGGGACATTTGCCTGAAGTGGAAGGATGTGCAGGATTTTGCACAGCGGCACCACCCTGACAAGCACGTGGCACATGACCTTGTGAACACTTTTGATACGAGGGTCATGTCACCTTTCAGGGAGGTGCTGAAAAGGCGGATGAAGCAGCCGACCATGGACAGGTTCTTCAGCAAGAAGCAAAGAGTGGAAGAGGAACCTTCTTCGAGTTGTCCCCCAGAGTCTTAGAAAATGTACTGTACACTTTGTTGATTTTTAAATGTTAATAAACTCTTGCTGTACCAAATTTGGCTTTGTTTGGACTTTTTTTGACCATAGGAACACATTAATTGATTTTCAGTGCATTCCTATGGGAAACCGTGCTTCGCAAGACGAAAAATTCGCTAGACGAAAAAACTCGCGGAACGAATTAATTTCGTCTTGTGAGGCACCACTGTAATTCTCTGTTCTGCTGGGTGGCTTCTCCTGCAACTTCCAAAGATCCCAGAAGCCGTCTCTGCAGAAACTCAGGGCAGGGCTTTAACTCTCCTCCTTAGGGGTTTTTAAGCAGAGGTTGGATGGCCATCTGTCATGGATGCTTTAGCTGAGATTCCTGCATTTCAGGGGGTTGGACCAGATGACCTTTGGGTCCCTTCCAACTCTACGATTCTAGGATTGGATGAATACCCCTCTAAACATATACAGTGGTACCTCTGGTTACATACGCCTCAGGTTACAGACTCTGCTAACACAGAAATAGTGCTTCAGGTTAAGAACTTTGCTTCAGGATGAGAACAGAAATCGTGCTCCGGCGGTGCGGCGGCAGAAGGAGGCCCCATTAGCTAAAGTGGTGCTTCAGGTTAAGAATAGTTTCAGGTTAAGAACGGACCTCCAGAACGAATTAAGTACTTAACCCGAGGTACCACTGTACAGTTTAAAGGTAAAGGTAAAAGGACCCCTGACCATTAGGTCCAGTCGTGGCTGACTCTGGGGTTGCGGCGCTCATCTCGCTTTACTGGCCAAGGGAGCCGGCATACAGCTTCCGGGTCATGTGGCCAGCATGACTAAGCCGCTTCTGGCGAACCAGAGTAGCGCACGGAAACGCTGTTTACCTTCCCGCCGGAGTGGTACCTATTTATCTACTTGCACTTTGACGTGCTTTCGAACTGCTAGGTTGGCAGGAATATACAGTTTAGAAGACCAAATATTGCTTAATTAGCCAAAGGCTTGGGAGCAGAGGAATGTTTTGTAATGAAGGTGCGCCAGGCAAGCCTCCCTGGGGAGAGGACTCCAAAAGCGGGTTGCTAGCACAGAGAAAGGCCTGTTCTTGTGTTGCCACCCTCCAGACCTCTTAAGGACGAGGCACACGAAGAAGGGTATCAGAGGATGATTGCAGGGTCTGAATTGCTTCATATTGGGAGAGGTGGTATTTGAGATATTGCAGACTTCAGAGATCTCATTGTGTACCTTCTCTCTTCCTCTTGCATGTCTCAGACCCTCCAAGTGACCCTATTTTCCAGGGACAGTCCTTGATTTACAGAAGCTGTCCCCATTTCTGATTTGATCCCAGAATGTCCCGGTTTCCCTTAGGGCAGCCCTATTTTCATGGAGAAATGTTGGAGGGTATGGAGTTATCTGACCCTCAAGCCATCTGAAGGCAGCCCTGTATAGGGAAGTTTTTTAAAAAATGGTGGGTGGGTGTGTTAGGACTGCCATACATCTGGTGCATTGTCCTGGATCTTCGGCAAGTCAATCAAAAAATTGAGGTCTTCTTCCTTCAAAAAAAACTTTTGGGTTTTCCTGAAAAAAGAGGAGTGTGCTCACACGTACGTGTCTGTGTGAGGTCCAAAATATTGCCCACCTCTGCACTGCATAAATAATTATTAAACTACCCTGTTAAACATCACACACAACAAAGTAGTATTTATTTATCCACTGTGGGTAATGCACAACCACAGGCTTTCCAAAGAATTTGGGGTTATTTCCTTTGCTTGCGCAAGCAGCAAGATTGCAGCCTATCAAGCATACTGGCAAAACAAGCCCAATTATCAGCTAATTTTCCATCTCGGTTTAAGAGTCAAGTAGTAGAGATGCAGGGGTTTAAAAGCCTTTATTTTATCAGTGAATTTTCCTTTTAAAAAAAGAAAAATCAATGTCCTTAAAAGAAAAAAAACCTGGATTGTTCTTTTTAATTCCCTGTCCACATTTAAAACCCAAGTACTTCAGGTAAATCTAAAAAGCAAATGCTGTTTAAGATCCTAGGTGACCTCTGAGGAGCAGATAAGCCTAGCACGGATGATTTCAAGTATTTAGCTGAGAGCCCTTAAGGGAGATGGGTCTATCTTGAAACTTCTCTTCTCCCTTTAAGTACTTCTAGAGTTTTACAAGGGCATCTGTTTTCAGTCTTCGTAAAGGACATGCAAAGCATCTGAACAGTGGAGGTTGGTGAAATTGCCTCAGCAGTAAAAATCTGGGAGATTTCTCCACATTGCTAAATGAGAGGAAAACTGGATTTGATGTGAAATGGATGATTGCTGGGCTGGCCACTTAGATATTGGGAAGGAAGGAAGGAAGGAAGGAAGGAAGGAAGGAAGGAAGGAGTGTTATAAGAATTCTAAGGTCTCGAATATAGAATAAATATTCATAAATGCACCCATATCTATATTTCAGACATATATAAACCACATGTCTGAAATAGTACAGGAGAGCAATCCTGGAGCCATTTTGACTCTTCCAATGACCTCAAATATTCCTCTGCAGTAAGGGAGGCAAATGGGGAAAGCCTTCCCACTGTCTTTTCGGTTACAAATCTTGTCTTAAGTGTGTATTTTGGTATGAATATGGTGAGCCTCTGACCTGGATTCAGGAACTAAAGTATTAACCATCACAAAAGAATGTCCAGGCTGCCCAGGTAATGCAATCAGTGACCT